CACAAAGGATTTGTCTTTAAAACCTCCCAAGATTGAGACGTGTTTCGCTCAATACGGTTATTCTCATCGAGGACACTCTCGTCCATCGATGAGCTTTTGAGAACCCGTTCGTTCTCAGCAAACACTTGTGCCGACCGAATAACGGCGACGTACTCGTCCTCTGTGACGAGCACGCAGATCTTCTTGATCTTTTCACTACGCAGATCTCGCAAGAATCTTTTAGATTCTAGCGTTTGCAACTTGACTACCTCCGAAGCTGACTTCGAAGGTGTAACCAGATCAAGTGTATGCGCATAAGACATTCACTGTCTCGGTGATTTCCTGGAAAACACATTTACTGGTGGTTGGGGATCCACACCTTCAACATAGCTCTCTCGGAAATTATCACACTCAGGAACGCTGGAAGTTTCTTCCAATACGTGTACTGACTGTGGTTCGACTACCACGGTCACGTCCTCTTCGATCGACTCTCTTTCAGACGATCGGTCTTGATCTATGATCGACTCTCTGGTAGTCGATCTCGAATCAACGTGTTGTTCGTCCTGAATAACAACACTAAATTTTCTTCTTGGATGCACCTTTCTTGGTGTGCATTCGTGTTCCCGTCCGCTCGATCTCTTCGAGGGGTGAAACTTCGGCGCAGCCTGTGTCTCTACACAGGTGCCGGAAGCTGGTTCCACAGTGTAGTGGCCTTCTACACTGTGATCTTGCGCAGTCGTACTAACGACCGTACCCACAAGTGAGGCCATCGCACTCACTCGTAGTACATCCACGCACTTGTGGACGATCCAAGACGTTCCTCAAATGGCCATCTGATAAGCAAACGGCAGGCACCTTCACGGATCGATGCTGCCAACTACCCCATGGCTGGTATTTTCTAAGCCATGGCAGACCGAGGATGACATCAAATTTGTCATCCAAATCTAGTACGATGGAGTCATCATCGTACTGCTTTCCTCCTAGCGTTTAGTGTGTTCCCACTACACGTTTGTTCACTGTTACGGATGCGCCTGTAGCAAGGCACACCGTCATCCATGTTGGAGGGAACTCTCGCTCATCATAGCTGAGACTATTATCCTCTTGAGACTGGCGTCGATTAAAACTGTTCAATGCCCACAGTCAACTAGGGCGCGAAGTGACATTCCACTTGTCACTTCGATCTACAAAGTGATGAGAGACTCCTCATCACTAGTAGCAGTAACACACAGAGACTGTGTGTTGGGGCAATCTTCGTTAAGAGTCCTGTGAATTGTCTTGACGTTGCTGGATCAGCAGGGTGCTCCGCCCCTACTGACCCTGACCGTTTTATGACGGTCCGACTTGATGTCGCGGACCCACGCCTTGGACCTTTCCTCGGCCAACGGCGGTTATCACGTTCTTTCTTTGGACATGGTGCGGTGCTTGGGACACTACACTCATGAGCGTAGTGTCCAATCTTCTGGCAGCGATGGCATCTTGCCGCTCGCTTGTGACTCAGAGAGCGAGAGTTCTCGCTCTTGATGTTACAGAGGTCCTTTGGTTCGGGACCATCTTTTTTCTGTTGTCTCGTCGGACGATAGTTGATGAGTTAGCCTGAGACTATCTCAGGCTAAAGTCTTCTTGTTCCGTATACGCTATCGCCTTTTCCAGCGGATGGCAGTCCTCGCGGAACATGCAGGTCTTCACCTTCCCATCCACAAGGCCGTAAAGGAACACGTTGATGAGTTTATGCTCATCAATATGAGTTTTCGCAAGTATACTCGCAAGGTAGCGTAGATAGAGTACGTACGCATACACATCACGATTGCCTTGCTTGAGCCTTAGGAGTGCAGAGCGTGCTCTGAACTCGGCTCTCGGCGGCTCAAACGTCTCTTTGAGCCGATACTTAAAGGTCTTAACGACTCAAACACGTTTGGGTCGTGAATCTTAAGCCCTAAGGCCCAAGTCTTTGCTCGTCCCGTCAAATTTGACAAGGCAAAGGTGACTTGCATCTCGTCACCCTCGATATGACGGGCCCTGATGGCATCGTCAGACTCGACGAACCATCTCAAAAGGGAATCTCCATCGGTTTCCTTGTACCTTGAGATATCAATCTTCAATATTTCGATTCGACGCATGTGCGTCGGCCCGCCCATCGACTGATGAGAGTCTAGCTGTTGTAGCAAGGCTATCTTCTGTCTTTCGACGGCAAGTTCCCCTTGTAGGAACTTGTTTATAGCAGCATGTTGCTGGTCTCTGCTTAGAGACTCCATCATACCACTGATGGCGGGTTCGCCCTAAGCACACTTATGCGGCCGACTGTCTACCATTCTGAATCACTCAGGTGGGAGTAGCCTTCACGTGTGACGTGAAAGCTGTCGTCTTCTATGTCCTACATGTTCATGTTGGACGAACATTCAGTAGTTGTCGGACGGACTACAGAGTGCTACCAGGTACAACGATGAACCCTTGTTTGGGGCACCGCGAAACTCAACGTACACTAGTACGGGCAGAGGAAGCTTATCCACTCAACATCTATGTTGAGTACATGGTACAAGAGACCTGTATTCAATATAGTTAAGCTATCAATAAAACTTTAATCTTTATCTAACTATATTAAACTACGTCTCGTATGACGACAACCTGCTCACCACTCACTGCGCGCGCCTTGCATCAATTGGTGGTAATCTATGGTTGATTTGTCTTTTATCAACCAATCTTTGAGCAGCGCATGAATATTCTCCTAAAAGGGGATTATATTCCTTCAATATTATCCACCTCGGATAAAATTGGTAGAATGTTGTCACGCTAGACAGTCTCCCTATTGACACCGTTTCGTGTCAATATCGTGAAAAAGACTACCGCGTTACGTACGCCCTGATCCGGAAAAGATCAAGGAGATTAGCGACTGACCCGTGCCATTCAAAGTCAAGGGACTTCGAAAGTTTCTTGGCTTGGCGGCGTACTTGAGCAAGTACTCTTGCAACTACGCCGAGATGACCGTACATCGCTCTCGTCTGTTAAAGAACAGCAAGAGGTGGTCATGAAGCGCTGAGTGTCAGCACTACTATGAATGTATCAAGAATAGCTTGGTACAATCGCCTGTGTTGGCGATTGCGGACCAGGATAGACCATTTCATGTATTCTGTTACGCCAGCGATTTAGCAATCGACTGCGCGTTATTGTAGTACGACTCAGACTGCGTTGAGCGCGTCGTCTGTTATCAATCGCGTCATCTGCAAGAAGCTGAGCGTAATTACCCGGTGCATGACAAGGAACCCCTTGCCATGAAATATAAACTGACTAAGTTTCGGGTGTATCTCTTAGGAGATAGACCCTTCATCGTTTATACCGACTATGCGTCATTACGCACGGCCGTCCACAACTCTCACAACGAATGGCGAGGTAGCTGTATTTCTTCGCGGAGTACAACTTCTCCGTCGAGTATAAACCAGAACGACTTCATGTCGTCGCTGATGCTCGTTCGCGTCGGCCCGATTTCGAGCCGACTGCTCAACACAACAGTAGGGGTGATCGCACTGAAGCGACACTAACAGTGAGTGCTCCGTCGTCTAATCTGCTCGATGACGTGCAAAAAGCATACGCAGAAGATGAGTTTCTTCTGCGATTGATGGATTACGTATCCAATCCATGCAGTCAAGCTTTGAAAAGCTTGTCGTCTCAATACCGCTTTTTAACCGAACGGTATTCGGTTCGTGATGGACTGCTGTACTATACAGCAGTCAACGGCGACACACCTCGTGTCGTCGTTCCCGCTCATAATGATTTGCGATTGCGCATCATGTATGAGTGTCATGATGCCCCAACAAGTGGGCATCGCGGTAGAGAAAAGACTCACCTCACGGTAAGTCGTGACTTCTACTGGCCCCGCCAGTATGAGTTTGTGCGCAAATACATTCGCGCTTGCGAATTTTGTCAACGGGTGAAGTCTAGTCCTTCATTTCACGCACCCTTGCAGCCTCTTCCGATTCCGGAAGAATGTTGGCAGTCAGTATCGATGGACTTCGTCTTCGGGTTTCCCCAGGACGTTCACAAGAATTCTGTTATTCTTGTGTTTGTTGATTGTTTCATCAAGATGGTACATCGTGTTGCTGTACCGGGGTCAATCACAACACAGGGTTGTGCGCGTGTCTTCATCGATACTATCTTCCGACTTCACTGGTTACCCCGTGAACTCGTGTCTGATAGGAACCACCGCTTTACGGCGGAGTTTTGGCAATCCGTGTTCCGTTCACTTGGAACACGTTTGACGATTTCGACTTCTGACCATCCAGAAACAGATGGCCAGACGGAACACGTCAGCCGCGTCCTCAAAAAGATACTTCGAGGGTATGTTCACTTGTTTACGAGTTGGAGTGAGTTCTTGCCGATGGCGGAATTTGCCATCAACAACTCGGTGCATGCGTCGACAACGCATACACGGTTCTTCGTGAATGGCCTACGCCATGCACGTTTACCCGACTTCTTAGAGTGCGACTCTAGTTTAAGAATGATGGAATCGCTCGAACAAAAACCGATCTGGTTCTTGCTCATCACCCGTCGACAATGGTATCGACGTGACGGATGCCGATGTCGATGCGATCGATTTCGATGGATGATGAAGACGACGATGCTGGCATATTCAGCATCTCCATTGACTGCCACAGTGAGGACGATGACACCCTCACTGGTGAAGACAACGTTCTTTCAGCAGTGCACAGGAAGCGCACTGCTGTTGACAAGGATGAATCAGCAGAGGCATTTCTGCTGACTCGCGAAGCGGTTGTTCGCTTCGTTCAAGACTCTATTGCAGATGCACTAGACAGACAGAAAAGAAACGCAGAAAAACATGGAAAAGCAAATGCTCTTTCATTTGATAAAAGGGGATTTAGTTTTACTGTCTTCATTAAACTTACTGAAACACGCAGTGACAAACGTGGGCAGCAGTAAATTACTGCCCAAGTACATCGGTCCATTTTGTGTGTTGCACCGAATGGGCAACGCATACACGGTTGAACTGCCCCATAAGATGCGTACGCATCCTACGTTTTACGTTGGTCGTCTCCGCCCGTACTATCAGTACGAGCCCGTTTCGAGATGCGAAGAACACCTCCGCGGTCGAGAGCCGAGACCACCTTCGAGTGGTCCCGTTTTAACAAGCCAGTCTGGTCGACTTTCGAAGTGACCTGTTCACGCAGTTGAGCGATGTCTCGACGAGCCGCTGCTAGCTCGTCACGATCTTCAGAACGATCGTGCACTAAGGAGTTGTAATTATCCTTTACAAGATCATGGAGCTCGTAGCGCCGAGTCCGTTCATGAGCCAGGTTACCTTGCAACTGTTCCGTTACACGGTTCAGCTCCTGAACATCAAGCTGATCCGACCCTCGAGCCGGATCAGGTGTTCCCGCCGCCACCACATCCCTTAATGGACTCATGCGATGGTCAACGCTTTCTAGTGGAGCGTATTTTGAACCACCTCAACGTGAATGGCGTCCGTACGAGTTGCCTCGTCCGTGTCTATTCACCGGTGTGGGACAGCTGGGAGCCTTGTGCCCAGCTGATTGTTGATGTCCTGGGTATCGTCGAGCAGTGTGACGAGACCCACCCGCTGCGTTCGAAGAAGGGCCGTCGGAAAACGACCTCCCCGAACGTGAGCACAGGGATCACAAAGTGTCAATACCTTTTGCCATCTCGGAAGAGATGCGCGCCCTCCAGAAGGGATCATTAGGGAGGAAGGCCTCCCTAATGGCACGGTTTGAGTTGTCCAGGCAACCTGGAGACGAACCACCCCACGAGAGACAGGGTAGTCCTGCCTCTCTTGACGGTCGGTGCAACTTATATCGCACCCCGACTGGGTTAAGCTTCTCAAACCTGATGCGAGCTGCATCATTTTTACCGAGCCAGGCCTCACGGCCAATGCACTCGATGTTATGGATGAGGGCATTCCATCCTTGCACCAAGGCCTTTCCGTTTCGAACACGGCTGCCATTGTACCATTGGTGTTTAAAGAATGCATCTGTAAATAATTCTTCCTCAGCACGGATAGTTTCCGTGCTGGAATCAGGTGGGCAAATCTTCCTACAATTGAACAACGGGATTCGATCCCGTTCGGTAGTCATTCCGGCCAACCGGTCCAGCTCATTGGATGACGGCATCCAAGGAGACTTCACTTGAGGAGCGTGGTGCAGGACATTTCGGTCCCTGGCCTCTTGATTGGTGTCAGCATGAGCACTGACACCAGTGACACTTCGATCCCTCGAGGTACTTCGCTCGTGGTGATGTATAGGTGCATTACCACCATCCCTACGCTTCCTATCATTGGATGGACTCGCGTGAGGCGAGGATTCGTCGGAACAATCGCTCGATTCAACGATTTTTCGCATGATGCCCCCACGTTGACTAGATCCAGTCATCCTGGCTCTAGCAGTGTCCGCCCCGGGTGATCCGGAGGCGTGAGGTCTCGATTTCGAGTCGGATACATCATCCGACCCACCGGAATAGAGATAAGCTCTATTTCAGAATCGTCTGGATTACGATTCGCATTACCCGCTGCAGACGCAGCGGATGTACCTGTCGCACGTGGTGACTCACCACGTGGACTGTTCACAGCAGCAGGCGAAGAACCACCTGCTAATGAGGTGTGAGAAGTACTCTCTCCGGCTGCAAGCATGCGTGCAGCCGCCTTTCTTGCTGCTACAGTAGCAACTCGCTTGAAATTTGGAAACAATGCGTTGGATTGGCAAATGAGTGGAATTCGACCAACAAGTACTCCAATTCCCAGAGTGATCCAACGGTGGTCACCCTGTCCCAATCGATTCTATTTAATCAACGGGTGATTGAGGGTAAAGGGGGAGGGTGATGTAACGGGGTAGCCCGTTACATGATATTGACACCAAACGGTGTCAATAGGGAGACTGTCTAGCATGACAACATTCTACCAATTTTATCCGAGGTGGATAATATTGACGGAAGATAATCCCCTTTTAGAAGAATATTTATGCGCTGCTCAAAGATTGGTTGATGAAAGACATGTCAACCATATATTACCACCAATCGATGCAAGGCGTGCGCAGTGAGTGGTGAGCAGGTTGTCGTCATACGACGACGTAGTTTAATATAGTTAGATTAAGATTAAAGTTTTATTGATAGCTTAACTATATTGGATACAGTTCTCTTTTACCCTGTACTCCACTTAGCTGTTGAGTAGATTAGCTTCCTCTGCACGTTCTAGTGTACGTGAAGTTTCGCGGAACCCCACACAAAGGTGGCCCCGTTACACACCGATCTTTAATTAATGTGGACACACATCATAATCTGGTCATTGAACGCCGTCTAACTCCGTTACACTTATCAAAAAGCAATATACCATGTCCCTATCTCATAGCTGTAAAAACTTATTTATAGTCACTCTTTGTCTCGGTCGCATGGTGAAGCACGCAGTTGATTGGAAAAAAATTGATTAAGAGTAAATGTGGTCACACAACTAAAAGACTTGACGCTTGTAACAAATGGCTGTCTCGTTGCATGAGTATATTCTGGGCTAATTCCAACTTTAATAGCATCATTCCTTCTTCAAGGGCTGCTGCTTTTGGATAGTGTTTGAAACTTGGTTCAGTCCTCCGAAATTACTCACTTATTCTAATGGGCGAGCTCCTGAGCTTGCTTCTATATCTTGTTTTGGTAGGCCGTTTGGACGGTTTAGGCTAAATACTCATTTTCCCGCTTACATTGGGGCTGTCCCTGATGTGCGGCTATTTCCTTTTTTAGGCGAGTTGCTTGTTTTTTTAGGTTCTCCTTCTAAAATTACTTAAGGCTAAGATTGGTCATTCTTATCAAGCAATTGAACCCTTCAAAAACAAACTCAGAAGCGATCGGCAACGACGAGGCAGGCGGTCCATGTCTGAATGATTTTCTTAACATGCGGCAGTTGTGAATTGTTATCTCATATGTATAGGAGACGAGCGTTTTCAATTAATACGCAAAAATGAGTGTCGGTGACGACGTATTGTCAATCGTACTGACCAAAACTGATGTGAGTCTTATGAAATTAAAATAGAAAAAGCTAATTAAAATAAAGTTCGAGTCTGGAACAAGAGGGACAACGTATTACAAAATTAGAAATGAACCTCTTACTGAGAAAATAACCGTTGGTTTATGTAGAAATTACGGGCAATTGCACAATTTCGACAACAGATCTTTCGACAAGCAAAGCAAAAGACAGCCACATTGATGATCCTTCGAGCCATCCAAGCTCAGGCTGAGCACAAGCGAGCTCCTCCTTGTACTGTGGAAGGGTGCATCGATCGTCAAGAAGTCCGAGGTAGGCGTCTTCTTCTTCAACGCTGTCGTCACCACCTCCTTCACTCTTGATCTTGTCTATCTTGGCTAGCGTTTGACTTCGAGTCTGATGCTTGAATTTGAAATGGGCTTTTAGCTTTGCACCATTAAACCTTGTAGTGATGGTGAGGAGCACGTATCAAGCTGGCCTTGCCGTACTCGTCGTAACTCTCGATATATTTATGGCTGGGGATGCCGTTGGCGCTGTTCGATCTTTCGGAACTAATTGAGTCATCCGATCCTTCATCACAATCGCAGCCATAAGCACCACGTGTACGAGGTCGGGGGTCGTGGACCGTAACCATGGTATCGATGTTGCCGTCAAGCGAACCGTCCTCAAGTTTTGAGTCCTCATCACGTACCTTCTGGCACGTGATGAGGACTCAAACTTGGCATCTCCCGGTGTTTTCAACGGCACCCACGATAGCGTCGTATGGCAGCATCAGCGGAGCCCCTTAAAATGTGACGGTGTTCTCGGAGGCCAAAGCTGCTGTTGCAGCATCGCCACAAGTTGACAGGCACACCAATGCTACGGACACGAAGACACTAGGACGCATCGGGAACAACTGAAGGTAAGGAGTGGAGGAGTACAGAGGGATCAAGTTGAATTGAGGCGTCAACTTGATGAATGCCTTTCGCGTCGAAGAATTTAATTGAGGGGGGAAGTTGGTGGCCGGGAGACAAGCACTCCGGCAGAAAATACGAGTCAGACACCGCTTCAAGCTGGTCATCGCTCTGATTTTTATCCTTCTTGACAAATCCCTGACGGCAGCTCATTCGAGAATACCTTGTTATCCAGCCACCTATCTCAATTGTCCACGGGTCCAGCAGGCCTTCGTAAGATACCACGGCTGAGTTTAACGAGCACGACATGGGGTTTTAACTCGTGATATAGAGATAAAGCAATCAATGTACACCCTCCTTAAGAGCTATATTACTAAAAGTTGTAACAGCGATAAAGTGTGTATGTAGCTCGAGTGTTGCAGCAAGAGGACAGCTCTTTATTTAAAACGATCTATTTCCATGCGTCTGCGCGACACCTGACAAGCTTGTAAGGACGTAGCACACAGTAGCGTCAACAATTACTCCGAGACCCGTAGCAGCCACAAAATTGACGGCTGATTCCCATCTGCTACATCAGCCCGAACAGATCAGTTCTGACGAGCTTTTAGATTCTTCCCACTGAGGCATCTATAGCCGGACAAGTCTACGTCCAGTGCACTGATCGTCATTTCGACCCATTCCTACGCCGCGCTGTAATCATGCCTTAAAACGTAACCCGGATTAGGATTTAACACAGCTCATTGCGATCAAAATGAGGTTGGCTGTCTTGTTCGCTTGTGGAGCCACTTTCCTCTGGCTCCTGCAAGATCTTTCAGTAATATGTGTCTCTTAAGTACTCATAGTCGGACAAGCATCGCGCGTGACTGCTCCAACCTGTTGTTCTGCGATAATGATTTTGCATACTTGGCTCGAAACAAATTACACCAGCACTGTAACGGGGTGAATCGTTACATAAAAATTTACAAGAAATTGTTAATAGAATACAACTATAAGAGTTACATTCTCGGAATATTGTCATAAGGACAACATTCTGCAGCACTTACGAGTAGTTCCTAATTGGTTGATATAGGCCATTATATCAACCAACGAAGACGCGCTACGACAGACGCACGCAATGAGTTGTGAGCAGATAGTTGATATGCACATTTGTACTTAGACATAGTTAGATGAAGATAAATATTGATTTATTAACAGACATTAACTATTATAAATACAGTTCTACTTTTTACTTTAACCAAGTACTCGCTTCTCCTTACCGTCGTCCTCTACACGTACCAGTGTACGTGAAGTTCCGAGGCACCGCCTTATTCTGTCGTCAGAATAAGTAGCTTGTATTGTCATCAGTACAAGCTTCAGGGTGCACCGGTACACCTGGTAGCACTTCGTAGTCCGTCCAAGGACCACATTCACATCTAACATGAATATTTTAGATGATGAAGATTACCATAGCTTTTGCGCTACGCGTGACGGCTACTCCCATTTGAGCGATGTCGAATGGGATGCGGTTGAACGGATGGGTTCAACTATGGGCATCCATGCTGTTAGCGTCATGCTAGAGGCTCTCAATAGAGATGCCCAACATGCCACTATCGCCAAATTCAATCAAAATGAACTTGACGCCGAACGCGAGAAAGTAGCCTTGCTTCACCAACAAGGTTCTCAACAATCGGAGTTGTTGAGAGAACAGGGTGCTCAACAGTTTGAACTGTTGAGACAGCAGCAGGCTGCTGCTGGTGGTGGGTCGATGCATTCGCGTCGACCCGAGACTTTGAAGACTGACATCTCCAATTATTGGGGAGTCGAAGAGGACTCCCTCTTGAGATGTTTCGTCAAATCGGACGGCGCCACAAGGGCGCGTCGCATCGACGACGGGGATATGCAAGTTGCATTTGCCCAATCAAATCTGGCAGGACGTGCCAAGACTTAGGCTTTGGGGCTCAAGTTGCACGACCCATATGCGTTTGGGTCATTAGAAGTCTTCAAGTCGCGGCTCAGACAAACGTTTGAACCGCCAAGAGCTGAGTTCAGAGCTCGAACTGAACTCTTGAAGATCAAACAAGGGAAGCGTGATGTGCACGCTTACGCACAACACATACGACATCTTACGAGTTGTTTAAGTTCCAACCCGGTTGATGAACACACGTTGGTTTCGGTGTTCATGCAGGGTCTTGCGGATGGTCCCGTCAAGACTCACCTGTTCCGACTTGAACTAGATTCACTAGAACAAGCCATTTCCATTGCGGAACAGGAAGACTTCAGTCTGAGACAGGCTCGCGCCAGCTCGACGTCATATCGTCCACCGAGACGATATGACAGCGGAGGTCCAGAGCCGATGGAACTCTGTTACGTAGAGAGCGAGAAGGCTCGCTCTACAGACTACAAGAAGTTGCAGAAATGCAACGGATGTCAAAAGACAGGACACTACGCTTACGAGTGTAGTGCCCCTCGACCAGTGTCTCGAAACACTGGGCGTAATGACCGTCCACCCATGAGAAAGGGGCAGGGACGCGGGTCTGCTGTTGGTGCAAAGACGCAACAACGGGATGGACCGTAAAAAAACGGACAGGATCAGTAGGTGCGGAGCACCCTACTGGTCTAGCAACGTCAAGAGAATTTGTAGGCCTCTTGATGAAGGTTGCTCCCAACACACAAACGTTGTGCGTTGCTGCTCTAGATAATGAGGTCTCACTCATTACCTTGAAACTCGAAGTGACGAATAAGTTGTCCCTTCGAGCTCTAGTCGATTGTGGGGCGGGCTTCGTGCGACGCCAATCGCTAGAAGATGGTCACTTCAAGTTTGTTGAGTGTGACACACCTCCTACGAGGATGACGGTACGTCTTGCGACAGGCGCATCCGTAACCGTCATGAAGCGCATAGTAAAGATCCACTATACGCTAGAAGATACCCAATATGACGATGACTTTATCGTATTGGATTTGGATGACAAATTTGATGTCACCCTTGGAATACCGTCGTGGCTCAGAAGGTACGAACCACGGGTAAACTGGCAACATCAAACAGTAACGATGCCTGCCGCTTGTTCATCAGATGGCCATCTGATGAACGTTTTGGAGCGTCCACAAGCGAGTGGATGTACTACGAGTGAGTGCGATGGCCTCACTTGTGGGACGGTCATTAGTACGACTGCACAAAACCTTAGTGTACCAAACGGTTACACTTCGGAGCAAAGTTCCGGCGGCTGTGAGGAAACACAGGCTGCGCCGAAGGTCCACCACTCGAATAAGTTGGGTGGACTGGGACAAAGATGTATCCCTAGCGGGGAACATCTAGAAGAGAAACAATCGATCGCTCAGGTTAAGCGAAACGATAATCCTAGATCGACTGGAGAGTCTTTCGTAGAGGATCTCGCTGTGGTTGCGCAACCCCAGCTAGAGGAAGTAAAGGGAATAAGTCCCAAGATTACAAATACGGCGGAAATAAGTTCCCCGAAACCCGCGGGAATAAGTCCCCAGGAAGACGAAGGAATAAGTCCTTCGAAGCCTGAGGGAATAAGTCCCCAGGAAATGACAGAGACATTGAATGTCATAGTCAATAACGGATCAAGTGTAGGCGCTTATACACTTGATCTGATTGCGCCTCCGAAGTTGACTTCGGAGATCACTCAGTTGCCAACGCTCGAACATAAAAGGTTCTTGCGTGATCTGCGTAGTGGCAAAGTCAAGCAGATCTGCATAATCGTCGCTGACGACGAGTGTGTAACCGACATAAGGTCAGCAACAGTGTTCACTGAGAACGAGAGAGTTCTCAGTAGTTCATCTATGGACGAGAGTGTCCTAGATGAAAAGACACGAATTGAGCGATATGACTCCCAATCATGGGAATCGCTCAAGACAAATCCTCTCTATGAAGATTTGGTTGAATTCAAGGATATATTCCCTGAAACTGTTCCGTGCGAATTACCGAAGGATAAAGGTATTCGACACGAAGTCGAGCTTAAACCAGGCTCGAAGTACTGTGTCATGAAGCAGTGGCCACTGCCTCGTGAACAGGTAACAGCTATCGACAAATTCTTTGCCGATCGTTTAGCGGCTGGTCATGTGAGGGAATCAACATCCCCACAAATCTCTCTGACCTTCTGTGTGCGAAAGGCCACAGGAGGGTGGCGGATAGTGCACGCGTTTAACAAATTGAAAGCTTCAAACTACCGGCTCAGACGCCGATACCGAGGAAGGACGTAATCATTGATGGTATGTCAAAGAGTACCATCTTTTCGTCCATGGATTTGATGGATGGCTTCTATCAAATCCTAATGCGGGAACGGGATATACCCTATACCGCAGTTAGCACGCCTAGCGGCATGCTCTGGGAATGGCTAGTAATGCCACAAGGGCTCAGTAATGCCCCTGCCACGTTCAACAGGTGTGTATCACATCTGTTGAGGCCAGTACGAGAATTCGCGCCGAGTTATTTCGATGACGTATTCATCCATAGTCGAGCTATGGATGGAAAGTCGGACGTTGAGGTTCACAAGTACCACGTCCGACAAGTTCTTACAATCATGCGAAAGCATCAATTGTATGCAAACCTCAAGAAGTGTATATTTGCAGCAAGCGAAATACCACTTCTTGGGTGCATCGTTGGTAAGAACGGTGTACGTCCTGATCCCGAAAAGATCAAGGCGATCACCGACTGGCCCGTGCCGGTCGATGTCAAAGGTCTTCGAAAATTCCTTGGGCTAGCGGCGTATTTGCATAAGTATTCACGCAATTACGCCGAGATGACTGTACACCTCTCTCGTTTGTTGAAAAAGAACGAGAGGTGGTTATGGAACGCTGAATGTCAACGCTCCTTTGAGGGTATCAAGCAGAGCTTGATACAATCCCCAGTCCTAGCAATAGCCGATCAGGACAGGCCATTTCATGTGGTCTGTGATGCCAGCGATTTCGCAATCGGCTGTGCATTAATGCAGTACGACCTTGAAGGCGTTGAACGCGTCGTCTGCTATCAGTCGCGTCAGCTGCAACCAGCTGAGCGGAACTATCCAGTGCATGACAAGGAACTCCTTGCCATGAAGTATGCACTCGCGAAGTTCAGAGTCTATCTATTAGGAGATAGACCCTTCGTTGTTTACACTGACCATACGTCCTTACGCACGGCAGTGAACAGCCCGCGCCTTTCACAACGAATGGCGCGGTGGTTGTCATTCTTTGCAGAATACAACTTTACGGTCGAGTACAAACCAGGACGACTTAATGTCGTCGCTGATGCACTCTCACGTCGTCCCGACTTTGAAACAGTCGCGAAACCCAACAGTGAGACAGTCACTGTTGCGGTTATGACGTCCTCAGTTCCATCTACAACGTTGTATGATGATGTGAGGCGGGCATACGCCCAAGATGGTGAGATAGTGAAGTTGTTGTCACATCTCTCCCAACCATCCCGAGAATCGTTGAAACGATTGTCGTCTGCGTATCGATCTGCATCAGATCGATACACTACTCGTAACGGTTTACTGTACTATACAGCCGTTTCTGGTGACACACCACGTGTTGTCATTCCAGATGATATTGATCTGCGTTTGCGGATCATGTTCGAGTATCACGATGCTCCTATAGGAGGATATCGTGGCCGAGAGAAAACATATCTCACGGTAAGTCGAGACTTTTACTGGCCCCGCCAGTATCAGTTTGTGCGAAAGTATGTTCGCGCATGCGAAGTCTGCCAACGAGTGAAGTCAAGTCCTTCACTGCGTGCACCTTTACAGCCTCTACCGGTTCCGGCTGAGTGCTGGGAATCCATCTCAATGGATTTCGTCTTCGGGTTACCCAAAGACGCACGCGGGAATACGGGTATTCTCGTATTTGTTGACAGACTCAGCAAAATGGTACACCTTGTGGCTGTACCAGAGACAATCACGGCAAGTGGCTGTGCTTGTGTCTTTATTGACACCATCTTCCGACTTCATGGGTTGCCCCGTGAACTCGTATCAGACAGAGATCCACGATTCACTGCTGATTTCTGGCGCTCCGTGTTCAAATCACTCGGAACGCGCTTGAAGATGTCGACATCTGATCATCCAGAGTCAGATGGTCAGACGGAACGTGCCAATCGTGTCCTTGAAGAGATACTTCGAGGATACGTACACTCCTTTAAGAGTTGGAGTGAGTTTTTGCCGATGGTAGAGTTTGCCATCAACAACTCGGTGCATGCGTCCACGACACATACACCGTTTTACGTGAATGGCTTGCGCCATCCGCGTGTACCCACCTTACTAGAGTGTAACTCTGGTTTAAGGGGGGGAGGGACTCGCGCGAGCAAAAACCGATTTGGTTCACGCTCATCACGCTCTGACGAAGAAGTCATTGCGTTTGATGCCGATATCGATAACATCGATATCGAAGAAGATGATGCCAGTGAGAGTGCGGAAGCCCTCACTGAAGACAATGATCCCAGTGAGAGTGCGGAAGCCCTCACTGAAGAAAAGGTTGTTGTCGCTGCAGTGCGCTCACAGCACACTGAAGCTAACGAGTCATCAGATGAGTTCATACTGGCTCGTGAAACGGTAGTCCGTTTTGTGCAAGACTCCATCGCCGAAGCGGTGGATAAGCAAAAGCAAAACGCTGACAAGAATGGAAGGGCAAACACTCTTTTATTTAATAAAGGTGACTTAGTCCTACTGTCTACGGTTAATCTACCAAAGCATGTAGTGACTCAACTTGGGTAGCAGTAAACTACTACCCAAGTACATTGGCCCATTTCGTGTATTGCACCGCCTAGGCAATGCATACACGATCGAGTTACCACGTAAGATGCGAACGCATCCCACGTTTTACGTTGGTCGGCTTAAGCCGTACCATCAGTACGCTGCTTCTTCCGATGAAGAACGCCCTTGCGCTCAAGCATCTCGCAGAGAGCCTTGTGCTCCCGATGGTGGGCATCAACAAGGGTCTGAAGAGCAGTTATCTCAGCCCGAGACCGATCAACAATCCCACGAGCTACCCTTAGCTCGTCACGAAGAGATGTCAGAGATCTCTCGTTCTCAAGCTGAGCAAAGGCAAACTCAGCTCGATGCTTCGAGGCAGTGTCCACCATCTGGAGACGCCTATTCCGCTCATGCTCGAGATCGTCGCGTAACCCTTGCGTTACGCGATCAAAGAAGCTCTCGGGAACACACCGATCCACATGATCGTGTGGAGAGCGTCTTTCCTCCTCCTCCACCTCCATTAGAGGACTCTCGCGGTGGCCAGCGCTATCTAGTAGAGCAGCTGTTGAACCACCGCGACGTGAACGGACGTCGGACGAGTTACCTCGTCCGGTGGCGCGGCTATCCCCCGTCCTGGGATTCTTGGGAGCCCCGCTCCCAATTGATGGTTGACGTACTGGGTCTGGTCGAGCAGTACGACGCGACACATCCTGTGCCGCAGAAGGACCGCCGGAGAAAGTCTTCCCGGCACGGTCGTAAAGGGATTTCAGGTTGTCAATCCCTTCGTACATCTCAGTAGAGACACGTACGCGCCACCACGGGCTGGTAAGGAGGTAAGCCTCCTTAGGTGCTCGTGCAGAGTTGTTCACACAACATGGGCACGAGTCTCCCCAAGAGAGGCAGGGTAATCCTTTCTCCCTTGACAGACGATGCAGCTTGTAGCGTGCACCTGTCGGGGTTCGCTTTTCAAACTTATCACGAGCTTTGATAAGTTTGTCGTTCCAAGCGTCACGACCTACATCCTCGAGATTATGGATGTAGGCGTTCCACGCCTGAAGTAGTGAGGGACCATCACGTTTGTGATTCCCACTGTACCATCGATGTCTGAAGAAAGCATCGATGAAGAACTCATGTTCAGCGCGATAGTCTTTCGCGCTGGGGTCAAGGTGATGAATCCTTGACGAATCGAACAATCGTGTTCGATAACGATCACTCGTCGTCGCCGACAAGTGATCCATGACAGATTTAGGAGGCATCCATGCCTTCTTTTCTGGAGCGAGACGCAACACATTGCGGTCCCGCTCTTCCTGCGACGTGCCGACAGAAGTACTGGCACCTCGCTGTGAAGTGGTGTCCATTGGAGAAACGACACCACTATTAGCGCCCGAGTCTCGCGACCTCGAGCGCCTTCGCTTCGGCGATGGTTCATCTGACTCATCAGATGAACCAAAGATGCTGCGACGCAAAGCATCGTCCATGCCACGCTTGGCAGGCGGCTTGGATTCAATTGCCGTCGATACGGATCCGTCATCCGTATCAGGAGAGTACGAGACACCGAGCTCGTACTCTGTGAAGACACGAGTGTCTTCATGACCAGCGCCTGCATCACCAGGTGATACAGGCTGAGTCGATTCAGCAACCGATGGGATATCAGTTGCTGTAGTTTCTGCTTCGGCGTCCGCACAGAGACGTGCAGACGCGCTCTCGGCGGCCTTGCTCGCGCATCGCATGGGCTTGTTTACCATGCGATGAGATGCTGGAAAGTGGACGCGGACCAACAAGTGCAAACCCCGTCCCAAATGATTTGGGACGAGTATCCATTTAGTCAATCAGTCACTAAAGTGACTGATGGTTAAGGGGGGGGTGATGTAACGGGGTGAATCGTTACATAACAATTTATTAGAAATTGTTAATAGAATATAACTATAAGAGTTATATTCTCAGAATATTGTCATAAGGACAAATATTCTGTAGCACTTCCAAGTAGTTCCTAATTGGTTGATATAGGCCATTATATCAACCAACGAAGACGCGCCACGACAGACGCACGCAATGAGTGGTGAGCAGATAACTGATTTACACATTTGTATTTAGACATAGTTAGATGAAGATAAATAGTGGTTTATTGCAGACATTAACTATTATAAATACAGTTCTACTTTTTACTCTAACCAAGTACTCGCTTCTTCTTACCGTCTTCCTCTGCACGTACGAGTGTACGTGAAGTTACGAGGCACCGCCTTATTCTGTTATCAGAATAAGTAGCTTGTACTGTCACCAGTACAAGCTTCAGGGTGCCCCGTTACATCAGCATTTATTAAAGTTCAAGTACCAGTCAGCGGACAGGATAGCTGGTGCCGTCCAGATCCACTTGACCATTGATCAGATACGTGTGAAAAAGTTCTGTGGGGCATTTGCCCATATCGAGCCCAAAATTAAAGTGGGAAGGCCTTAAAAAAATCGACGCTGGGTGTGTATATTCTGAGAAGAACGGCGTAAACCAATTCTTGTCAAATCATGGCTGGCACATCCTGTGCCACGCCAATAAGTGGGATGAGCGACTTCTCGCGTCCAGAAAAAGCAAAAAGAAGAGGTGAGGTCGTACTCAACGCAATTAAAGCTATCCACTTTCACAGACTTGTCCGAAGCAGAGCTACGCTCGACAAATGTTGAGAGGCCAGGGGATCGTAAGCAAGAAAAAGAGACAGGGAAGCGGTTTGGGGAAGAGGAAGATACTTTGAGTGCAATAGCCGAGTCATCAAAAGCTCTCGTGTAGGAGGAAGCCAAGATGACTACTTTGTGGCGCGAGCGTAACATTATAGCGCAACAACTGGCAGATGATGAGGCGATGAGAGTGGACGCTTCCGGCATGAGTGACATCAAGAATCAGTATTTGCCCTGCGTCAATATAATGCTTGAGGAAATGGAGAGGGAGCTTGACGGCGGGACAAGTGACGGGGCATGATGCACACTTAAGCACAATAAACCTGTGCATAACCACCGGCCAAGTATTGTATTCATCACATCTCCATTGCATGTAAGGATGAGTATACTACTTGGTCGCGGGGGTGCACAACTTTTTGTACTAAACGAGTAATCTGCGACCGAAAAGAAATTGTGTTTCGCCGGTTATGGTTTTGTGCTTCTGCATCTATTTCGAACATTATCGGCTGCTATTACTGCTCTTCTTCCTGGTACCATATGTGCTCGACCAGATCGATTCGAAGGGTCTGGTGTACTTGCGCGTCCCGGATATGGCGTTGACGAGCCAGAAATTTCTTGAAGTCGGGGATGACCTGTCGAGAGACGGAGATAGTATTGTGAGCATCACCTCCAGGATCGTCAAGCAAATTCTCCTTCTCATCTTCCACAATCATATTGTGGACAATGATGCAGGTCTTCATTATGTTTCTAGAATCTGATAGGCTCCAGAACCTTGCGGACCCTGCCACAATTGCCCACCGGGATTAACCACTCCAAATACTCTTTCCACATTCTTCCTTGCTGCTATGGCATCATCGCAAATAGTTTCTTTTTGCGACCTTGGGATTTCCATACGGTTTGCACTAGGGTCGACCTATGTGGATAGATGTTGTCAGCAAGGTAATTTCCCATATTTTACTCACGTCCATTTACCTGGAAGTTAGCTGCAGGTACCCGGTCTTCAACACGATCACTGAAGAGGTAGAACGGTTCAACACATTGATGTCGTTGTGAGACCCAGGCAAGCCGAAGAATGCATGCCAGATCCAGAGTTTGTATGACGCAACGGCTTTCAAAATGATCGTGGGCTGTTCTTCCTTGCCTGTGAATTGCCCTTTCCAAGCCGTTGGTCAGTTCTTCCATTCCCAATGCATGCAGTCCAATGACTTCAGCATTCCTGGGGATTCGCCTTTCTCTTCGAGGCTTAGCAGCTTCGTGATGTCTGCTGCTGTCGGTGACTGCAGATACTGTTCCCCGAATACCGCCCTCACTCCCGTACAAAATCGTGTGAGGGCCTCGATGACAATGCTTTCACTAATTCGAATGCAGTCATCGACTGAAACGGGGTTGCACGAAATTATGGTACTTTGTACCAGAGGTGTCACACACCTGAGGGTACCTCCTTTGTGAAGGTGATATAGAATTTCTTATTGGTTTGTAGGGGCTGACGAGTGTCAGCCATTAGGTACGAAAGATCTTGAAGTAGGATTAAGATATTCTATAGGCTTTAACAAAATAAAATCAGTTCCTTTTTTGATCTAAAGGACACGTGGCTTGCGAGCCGTCTTGATCGTTGATCACTGATCACTAAGAGTTAGCAACACCTCCTTGAGGTAGCTACTCTTGAGCACTGAGTGCTGTCGATTCACTGAATCGTGAGGTCTCATGGAACTGGGATCTGAAGCTGTAAAGCTTGTTGACTCGTAAAGTCGTTAGTTCTTTAGAACTAAGTTGCTCGTAGAGCGTTAAGTCTTCCTCTGACTTAAGGAGCTGTGCAGCTCCGCTACACTTGGTAGCACTTGTAGTCAATCTACGCCTGAGTCTTCAAGACTGATCCTCTGTGAGGATGGAAAACCCCAATCCCCTATCTGAGGCCCAAAAGGTCGCGCTTGATAAGCTGACCGCATCTTTGGGTCCAGAGTACGTGGAGTTCCTTGTTTCACAAGGTCCTGAAGTTAATGCACGTGTTGAAAGCTTCATGCAGTATAAAGCGACCCTTTTAGGGCAGGTCCAAGACCAAAAAGCGTCGGCTATGCCTACACGTTACGTGTCTGTACCAGACGAAGAGGCTAGGCCTCGTCCACTTAGAGTGGAAGTGAAAAACTACTCCGGTTAGGAGGGTGAGAATCTTATCCTCTGGATCCGTGAGATTAAGATGGCCATGAGGTCAGGCCTTATCACGCTTGATTATCAACAGGTCTTGCTGGCTATCTCGAAGCTTGATGGAAGAGCTAGAGAGTGAGCCTTGACGTGTAGCGCGTCGGTGGACATAGCGTTTCCCACATGGGAGTGGCTCGAGTCACAATTGGTACAGGTGTTCTCACCACCTAACCAGGCTTACCGCCTACGTTCACGCTTTCTTTCTACCTGCCAGGGTAAGAATGAATCATCGGACTATGTCCAGAGCTGCGAACGCTCATGGCTGCAATGCAGTCTGACCCTCTGCCTGAGGCAGTACATGTGACTATCTTCATGGAAGGTCTACGTACTGGCATTGCCAGAACCGAGGTTTTTCGGGTTCACCCCTCTACTTTTGAAGAGGCTGTGAGACTTGCTCTTAATGCTGAGCCTAACTTCAAGTCGGCCAGACATGGTTGAAATGGGTACAACCCTCGCTCTATGAGAGCAAACTCTTCGGGTACCACTGCCAATAATAGGCCGGACCCGATGGATCTCAACTACGCTGGAGACGAAGGTGAAGCTGAGCTTCAAGCTGCTGAGCAGCAACACGTCGTACGACGATGTTTTACGTGCGGAACCACTAAACACTTGCGGCCTGGTTGCCCTTTGTGTAAGCAACGCCAGGCTGCGAGCCAACACTCGACTTCGAGTCAGAAGTCTAGCATGGCACGGGTAAATGCCGACACCCAGTAGACGCGGGGCGCCCTACTGGGAAGAACTATGTTCTTTTACACCTTTAGAAGGTAAAGGAATGCAGGGCTTAGCCTTTAAGATTACCATACCTACGGGTGTGGTGCGTGGATACAATTCTGGCTTGTTAGTCGCCGAGGCGAAAATTAAGGGTTTTAAGAAGCCTTGGTCGATATTGATCGATTCTGGAGCGTCTTGCAATTATGCTCGATGCCGTTCCCTTGAGGGAAGTCAGCGCTATGCTGAGGCGCTTACAGCGCATGAGGGTGATTATATTACGGTTCGTTTAGCGACTGGAAGTCGTGTTACTGTGCCTAAAGTTCCATTAGGCTTAGGTATTAAGTTTTTAGACTTTGACAGTATTGAGCGCTGTCTTGTCCTAGATTTGGACTCGAGATATGATCTCATCCTAGGTATGGCTTGGCTTGAGCCATGTATTGATTGGAGGTCTAAGACGTTAGGCGCTATGCGCAATTTTCCTAGCGAAGGTTTTGGAGAGTCATGAACCCACCTTCGCTAGGCAACAGAAGCTTTATTGGCGCGAGCCTTTGACATAAGATGTCAATGTGCTGGATTTTGGAATGTCTGAGTTATCTAACTCCAATGTTACAAACATAAGTTTCGAGCTTAGCTCGTCTAGTGAAACGGCACGTACTCCGTTGAGTGTTACTCGTTGTGATAATGAGTCACTCTATGCTGAAAGCATGGTTGGCCTAGGGCCGAGTGATCAAGGATGTGATTCCTTTGATGTGTGTGTGGTGGCACGTGAAACTACACCTAGTGCGGTCGGCCGTGCGAGCACCGCACTTAATTTCGATAATGACATTGCTGGCCATATGCCAAATAGTGGGGGCGGCCGTGAAGGCACCACGCTTAACGTCGGTAATGGCGTTGTTGGCGATTCGCCAGATAGTGTGGGCGGCCGTGAGGGCACCACACCTAATGTCAGTAATGATATTGTTGGCGATACGCCAATCAGTGTGGGTGGTCGTGAGGGCACCACACCTAATGTCGGTAATGACATTGTTGGCGAGACGCAATTAAATTTAGGGCTAGAACCGCATAATACACGTGGATTGGCACGTTTAAATACACTGTGTGAAGTGTTCGAGTTACGTAACACTTCACCGGATTTCGGTCGAGACATAAGCTCTCTTACAGAGCGTACTATGGTTGGTCGTAACCATGGGGACAATATTTTCCCGACCTCTCAGGGGTGTAAGGTCTCGAAGAGACGATCGAGGCGCCGGTTAGCAACTGTAAAGCGCCAGGCTTCCACACAGTCACATAGTACTAGTAGTAATACACTTTATACACTTGTTAATGGAGTGACTGGTCAGGTTGATGGCAGTGTTTGCCTTGAAACCCTTCCATCTTTGGACGCTCTTTGTGAGCTAGACGAAATGTCTGATGGCGAATTTAGCCAGACCTAAAATGCAGGAGAGTTATCCAAAATAGCGGTCATTAGACCTGATACTGAGTTGAACTCTTTCCCGTTAATGGATGAGTCTGTCCTAGATGATATAAAGGCGGCACTAAGTGCACGAAGTGGATCTTCGATCCTTAAATATCCTTTGGATCCGTTCTATCCTTTAGCTAAGGAGTTTCAAGATGTGGTGTGTCGAAACCCACCTTCTGCCTTACCTCCCGATAGAGGTGTACGTCATGAAATTGACTAAGTTACTGGATTTAAATACTGCGTAATACGGCAGTGGCCTTTGCCTAGAGAATAATGTGACGTCATTAACGATTTCTTTCATGCTAAGCACGCGGCGTGAATGGTTCGTGAGAGTAAATCTCCTCATTCAACACCGACATTTTGTGTCAAAAAGCCAAATAGCAAGTGGCGTATTGTGCATGCGCATAATAAGCTTAATGCAGCCACTATACCAGCGCAGACGCCTATTCCTAGAAAATCATGTTCTTCAGAACAATATGGTAGGATGTACATTGTACAGTGCACTCGACTTATTCAATGGTTATTACCAACTGCTCATGCGAGCAAGTGATATTTCGTTAACAGCGGTGAGTACTCCGGGTGGTATGCTCTGGGAGTGGCTCGTTATGCCACAAGAGCTATCTAACGCCCCGGCTACGTTTAACCGGCTGGTAATACAACTATTCATACCCCATCGAGGCTATGCACAAACGTATTTTGTTGACATTTTTGTCCATAGTCGTGCAATGAATGGGCGATCAGATGTGGATAACCACATTAATCATTTACGAGCGGTGCTCGAGTGCATGCGGACGAATAAGTTGTATGCTAACGCATCTAAGTGCATCTTTGGTGCAGAATAGATTCCCTTTCTAGGGTGCTTCATTGGGAAGCAAGGAATTCGGGCAGACCCTGTTAAGGTTAAAGCCATAGTGGATTGGCCGGTTCCGAGGAACCAAAAGAACTTGCGTAAGTGGATTGGCCTTGCCAATTATTTACAAAATTACAGTGCGAATTACGCACATGTGGCTAGGCCATTGTCGAATCTCCTTAAAAAGGATGTGGAATGGTGTTGGAACACCGAACATGAGGCTTTTGAAGCCATTAAGGAGAGTCTCCTTCAGGCGCCAATTCTGGTTTGCCTGATCCTGATCGCCCGTTTAGTGTCGTGTGTGACGCTTCGGACTTCGCCATTGGCAGTGCTCTTTTGCAAGTTGACTCTGATGGTCGAGAACGCGTCATCGCGTTTGAGTCTCGCCAGCTGAAAGCTGCAGAGAAGAACTATCCAGTTCATGACAAGGAGCTACTTGCGATGAAGTATGCCCTTGTTAAGTTCAGGGTACACCTGTTGGGCTCAAAGCCGTTTGTGATCTATACCGATCATGCGTCGTTACGCACAGCGACACAGTCGCCTCATCTCTCGCAGAGAATGGCTCGTTGGCTCTCCTTTTTTGCAGAGTATAACTTCGAGGTGAAGTATAAGCCGGGAAAACAGAATGCTTTGGCTGATGAGCTATCGCGTCGATCTGACTATGAGCTTGCTCATGCTACGACTCTGTCGTCTTCAGTCCCTGACTTAATCCGCGCGGCATATGCCAATGATGATCAGTGTGTAGCTTTGCTACAAGCTCTTGGGAGCAATGAGTTTAAAGACTCGGACATAGAATTGTCGGCACGTTTACGTGCGAGGCTACATCGATATTCCATCGATAATGGCCTGTTGTGCTATTGCACGGATTTTGAGGATAACCCTCGTATCGCTGTACCTCATGATGAGGAATTAAAGTATCGAATCCTCTATGAGGCACATGATACTGCTTTAAGCGGTCATCTCGGTCGTGAGAAGACTTATAGCTCGGTGAGCCAAAGTTATTGGTGGCCCAAACTTTATAAGTGGGTGAGCACTTATGTGCGTACGTGTGAAACGTGTCAACGGGTTAAACCCTCAGCACATGCGGCGGCGCCGCTGGCTAGTGTGCCAGTACCCACTGGTTTTTGGGAGTCCATGTGCATGGATTTTGTGTTTGGCCTACCGAAAGATTTGATAGGCAACACTGGTATTGTGGTCTTTGTTGACTGATTAAGCAAGATGGAACACTTAGCGGCTGTGCCGGATAGCATCGATGCTAAGGTACAGCAAAGCTGTTTATCGACCGTGTGTTTTGCCAACATGGCTTGCCTGTGGCAATTGGCTCTAATAGAGACCCCCGCTCCACTGGAAAGATTTGGAAGTCTATCTTCAAGGTGCTGGGCACTCGGTTGGACATGTCACAGCGGATCATCCGCAGACTGACGGTTAAACTGATCGCGTTAACCGCGTCATTAATGACATTTTGCGCAGTGTTTGTGCTGATAAGTCTAGACGTTGGAGCTCAATGCCCCCTGTTGTTAAGTCTGCGATGAATAACGCTGTTCATGCCTCAACAGGCTATACTCCGTTCTATATAAACGGTCTCACTCACCCTCGCGTTCCGTTAACGCTATCACCACGTGATTCAGGGCTTGGTGGGGGAGAGGTTGCCGATCGGCTTGCTGATATCAGCCCTGCTACTGTTCAAAAACAGGTAGGTGAGTATCTCGCAACGCGATTAAATGTCTTAAGACATGTGCGTGACGCAATGGCTGATAGCCAAGATACCCAAAAACAACAAGCTGATGCCAAAGGCAGAAATTGTATTGAACGTTATGAGGTCGGAGATTAAGTATTACTCAATGCTAAAAATCTAACTAGAAATGTAGTATCTGCGGTCTTTAAGACAAAGTTGCGTCCACGCTTTATCGGACCGTTTACGGTCACTTATAAGAAGGGACCTGAGTATGCGCTAAACCTTCCGCGCAAATTGCGCACACATCCAGTGTTCTACGTAGGCTAACTTAAGACGTACCTGTAACGGGGCACCCTGAAGCTTGTACTGATGACAGTACAAGCTACTTATTCTGGCGACAGAATAAGGCGGTGCCTCGGAACTTCTTGTACACTCGTACGTGCAGAGGAAGACGGTAAGAAGAAGCGAGTACTTGGTTAAAGTAAAAAGTAGAACTGTATTTATCATAGTTAATGTTTGTTAATGAATCACTATTTATCTTCATCTAACTATGTCTAAATACAAATGTGTAAATCAATTATCTGCTTACCACTCATTGCGTGCGTCTGTCGTGGCGCGTCTTCGTTGGTTGATATAATGGCCTATATCAACCAATTAGGAACTACTCGTAAGTGCTACAGAATATTTGTCCTTATGACAATATTCTGAGAATATAACTCTTATAGTTATATTCTATTAACGATTTCTTATAAATTGTTATGTAGCGATTCACCCCGTTACAGTACCGGGTTCCTTATCATGTGAACATGCAGGCGCTTGCGCCGACGACAAGGGTATTGGCCCAGATTGCTGTAGACGAATCAGCAAGTCTAACTGAGCCTCGCTCCGAGTTTGAGCTTGCTCCATCGCCTGAAGGGGGCTTTGCATCGCATCCAGCATGGACTGGGTCTTACCCAAGGTCTCTTAAAGACCCTTCACTTCGAAAACTTATTTCTCGTGGGCCTCCACCGATACACCGGCCGCCACCAACTTTGCTCGATGAGCATGGGTGTCGTCAGTTTCATGTCGAGAGACTACTGAAACGACGTCGTCGTCAAGGCCAATGCTAATATCTGGTAAAGTGGCGAGGGTACCCTGAGTCTGAAAACTCATGGGAGTTTGAGATACCCCTTCGGCAAGACTGCTCTTATGCTTTGGATGCTTTTGAGCATCGCGGCCATGGTCATCTCGAGACCGAGGCCGTTCCCCACCACTAGTGGTGCGGGTTGGCGGGTTGTTGGTCACAGACTGACCAGCACTCGCGGCCTTAGTAGCCGAATCATTGTGCGTGCGCTTGTGCAATTGGCCTCTGGCCCTAAGCTTAGCATAATCATACCGAAGCTTTCGTTCGAGACGCACATCAGCCGCATGGGCACCAGCCCTTAGGGCAAACATTTTGCTGAGGCGACGTACATGGTGCACCCAGCGAACGAAGGCATCGTCTTCTTCGCTCACTTTTTCGCCTGCGAGCAAGAGAGTGGGTATACCCTTGATCGGTGGAACCGGTGCACCACGTGCTTGCATGTCAAGGCGTGACTTGTATTGACTTTGAGTCGTTAAATGCGGCTCCAGGTACCTCTTCCGACGTGCCTGGCAGCTCACCACCTCCTCAGGAGACTTAGGCCCATGGCCAATGACCCACGTTGCCAATGTTTGGCCGGCCGCTTGACGTAGACGTTCCTCCACACTGGGTGGAGTGAACACATAGTCACGCTGGCGCTCAAGGGTCGCACCCATTTATGCACGACGCTGAGAGTTTTCTTCTTGTTGGACATGCAATTGTTGTTGTTCATCGAGCGGGTTCGTGATGATAGTTTCATCAGAACCAGATGCTGAATGCTGCGCTAGTGGCGCGCTCACATCTCCACGTTCAGAGAACGGATTTGGGGTGTTCGAAGATTGTGCCTCAAGTATCGGTGAGTCGGACATTGTCCCTGTATCGCCGTGGACACTGGTATCGCTACCATAGTCCACTGCCTCCTCTATTCCGAGGTAGTCACGCAGAGTCTCTGACTCGTTTGGTGACGAGAACATTGTGCTAGAGCGTACGTTACCGTGAGGTTCATCGTACGCGCATTGTTCTCGCTTAGGAACACAAGTTCGATTGACGTTTTGGCAAACGTCAGTCTGGTGGGGGAGGGTGTAACGGGGTTGCACGAAATTATGGTACGTTGTACCAGGGGTGTTACACACCTGAGGGTACCTCCTTTGTGACAGTGATATAGAATTTCTTATTGGTTTGTAGGGGCTGACGAGTGTCAGCCATTAGGTACGAAAGATCTTGAAGTAGGATTAAGATATTCTATAGGCTTTAACAAAATAAAATCAGTTCCTTTTTTGATCCAAAGGACACGTGGCTTGCGAGCCGTCTTGATCGTTGATCACTGATCACTAAGAGTTAGCAACACCTCCTTGAGGTAGCCACTCTTGAGCACTGAGTGCTGTCGATTCACTGAATCGTGAGGTCTCCTGGAACAGGGATCTGAAGCTGTAAAGCTTGTTGACTCGTAAAGTCGTTAGTTCTTTAGAACTAAGTTGCTCGTAGAGCGTTAAGTCTTCCTCTGACTTAAGGAGCTGTGTAGCTCCGCTACATCGACCATGCCTGCAACCTTCCCAGTTGCCAGCTGACGGACAGCTGCTGTCACCTTCTGTAATAGGGATAGGCCCAGGAGGCCCGCAGCGTTTCGCGTTTGGACGACTACTCATCGTGTCGCTCCACAACTTGAACAATGCGCAGGCTGAGAGGTCAGTACATGCGGAATCTGAGGCGGAAGCACTGTTCGGACTAATTTGGGCGCTGAGAAAAATAGTTCTTGAAGAGCCGTTAATACCCTTTGATGCGATTCCTGTCAATGTGATTGCGGCCGAGGATGAAAAACTCCGTGATTTTTGGGCTTATCGGCACTTGAGGCCACGACATGAGCTGCCCTGTTCTGCATTTAATAATACGCCCCAGTAACTTGCTCAGCATGCAGTAGCATGTCTTCGCTATCGTTTTAGAGCTTACGAAGCAATCTCTCGTTGTGAACCATTGTTGGGAACAATGAAAAGTGGGGAAGAATAGAATATTGATAACGGTAAATGGAGAAACGGAAGTTTGATGGGTCCGAGTACTTGAAAGTTGAAGACTCGGACCGGTAAAGAGGGGGATAGCAGGAAAAATAGCTCCCAACTGCTGGAGCGCCTCCCCTCACGACACCTATTCTTTTTTGGAAACGCAAATTTTTGACCCAAAATATAGGGTAGGTATATCACAACTGCTGGAGATGCTCTAAGATCTTTCCTATCTTGTGGCTGACACCCGTGAGCCCCTATAAACCGATAAGATATTCTTAATCTCTTTCAGTGGGATACCATTCCGTGTGTCTAAGACACAGGGTCCCGAGTACTCGACGATGTGTAACCCCTTTACAATCAGTATCATTCTGACCCGCGAGATACGCTTTTCCGGGACAATACGTGGGACAGACAAGTAGTCAACACGCGTGGACAATACCATATCGCAAGTTCCGGTCGCATACAACTACTTATCTATCCACAGGATAAGTATGTCAAATTGTGTCTGTGTATATCCTCTCACTGTTCGGGTTCCTAAGACGGTCTATGCAGCGTCATTGTGTAGCATCGAATCGCAGCAGTCTGTGATGACAAGTTAGCACTTTCTTGGCACTACATAAATGAAGAAATGTGTGTGTTGAAATGTTGTTCTCTCTTCACTGCACTTCGAATTGAAACAAGTTGCCGCTTTTGTGCCTGCATACGCACTCCCAGTCGCTTATAGCATCAGAGAACCTGTTTCAAAACGCTGCACTTCATTGCAAAGTGTTTTTTTTTGGTTGCATCGTCAAAATCTATACGATATCCGGGCTAACACCGCCACGTTGTCTATGATTTGGCGCCAATTTTCAACGCCTTTTGCTCTAGAATTTATGCACTCGGCTTCCGCCCAGATGTCAATTGGCCGTCTCGAGAGGCAATCAGTGCTGTTGATATGTCGAATGAGCGGAGGCGCTACCTGGTTTCGGTCTTCAGATGCACAATACACTGTCGGACCTTACTCTGCTTCAGTCGTTCATCCTAGTATCGTCTACTTCGATTCAAGCGCTTCACTAAGTGAAAGGGTAGTAGAAGAAGTAGCTGGTAGATGCAATGATCCACCAACATTTGCCGCAAGCTCGAGCCCACGATGCGATTAGCTGGGCAGCAAATTCGACGTGGATGGAGAGGAGCACGTCTTCCCGTCGTCTTTCTTACTTGTAATGTACACGAAAACTAGGAAGACGGGACCGTCACGTGAGCTGTGCAGGTGTTATCGAGAGCGAGACAATTGAGAGGGCGAGTCAGGCGGATGTGTGGTGTACAAAGCAGGAGACAAGAAAATATAAGCTGTTTTGCTTATGTAGTTGCAAGTCTGTAACCAGTTATTGTAGGAAAGCAAGGGATTTGTTACCTTGGTGGATTGGAGATTCGGCGCGATGTGTCGATTAGCGTCATTCGTTTAGATAGGAAGGCAGAGCGGCTGCGTAGCAAAATGGGTGGTGTGGATGGCTTTGGAAAAGTGTCAGGTAGAAGAGAAGACATAAAATGTGAATACAGAATCTAATCGTCTTTCTACTGCGCATACTACTTCCCACAGGTTATGAGCCCAATGGCTAGAGAAACTGAAGCGACCCCCAAGACACCAGGAGGTGTCGCGCGAGCTGCGCCAGGGCGTGTCTCGCCAGCGCGTGTGCCCTCATCGGGGGACACGCCGGAAGTCGTCGAAGTACCGCCCGCTCGCGAAAGGAGCGAGGCAACCGACGACAAGATCCTCGCGGCCCTCGCCGCAGTGACCGACCGCCTGTCGAAGCTCGAGTCTTCGCAGCGCGTCCGGGACGAAGATGAGAGGATGCTTGGAGCTGTCGAGAGCGGCATGTTTGCATCCAAGCTTGGAGCGAACATGCGTGGACGCCCCATGACCATCGACGCGCTTAAGTCGCTGGAGGAGAAACCAGCAGCACATCGCGCGCGGGAGCGCTGGCCAGAAAACGGTGAGTCGATGTTCGCCTCTCTCGCACCGCCGCGTGGACAGCCGTCAGCCCAGCATCGCATGCCGGAACGATCGGCCGAGCCCATGGTCGCGCCGCGTCAAGAAGCTATGCCACCAGCGATCGGACACTACGGAATGCCGAGCGCTAGTCAGAGAAAGCTCAACATTCGCAAGTTCGATGGGACGGAGCTTTACAAAGGGCTTGGGAGCGGGTTCTTTGACTGGGGACGCACCTTCATGCGCGCTGTGAGCCTCGCTGAGGCGTCTTGCGGTTTCTCCTGGACGGAGGACGTGAAGGTGGACCTACTCGGGCATTTCTTGGCTGGTACGGCGGAGCGCTACTACCACAAACAGGTCGACACTTGGTGGGTGCAGCAGCCAAGACTCGAGCACGTCATGGAGCAGCTGCACCTAACGTTCAAGACGACCATCACGGCGAGTCAGGCCATGAAGCTATTCATGACAAGGAAAGAAGCGAGACGCACCTGGGCTGAGCACTTTCTTTACATGGTGGCTGTCAGCGACGCGCGCGGTGGCGCCGACTCGCTTGTGCTCGACAACATCGTCCATCATGCGTCGCCAGACCTGATGAATGTCATGCGCGCTAAGTACGATCCAACGCGGTCCGACTACCTGCGCCACGCTGAGGAGTTGGCGCACTTTGCGCAGTCTATCGAGCTCGGCAGTGGCGCGGTTGGTCGCGAGGTCGTTGCGGCGCATGTTGAGACGAAGCGTCAAGACACGCGAACGTGTTTCCGATGCGGGAGGACGGGGCACGTCGTTTCCGAATGCAAGGCAAGAGTTGTGTTTGATGATGAAACGACAAACACGAGTGTCAGCGGCGATATGGTACTTGCGCTCATGGAGAAAGGGTCAGCGGCTCGCACGAAAGAAGCCAAAAGCAAGAAGAAAAAGAAATCGCGAGGCAAAGCGGTTCGTGCGAATAAAGTGCGAGCTGCGAACAACGCGGGCGGATTCGTGCTAGCTGCAAATGATGCGATTGGCATCGATCGAGGCGACTGGATACTTGACAGTGGCGCGAGCAGGCACCTCGTGAACGATGAGTCGCTGCTGATCGACTCGACCGCCTGCGTCTACGAGATCGCCATGGCAGATGGGGAGTCACTGCGGCTGACGCGTGTCGGGAGTGTGCGCCTTGAGGTCCTCGCGCGCGGTGTGAAGGTGACTGTGACTCTGACAGAAGTCTATCTTGCTCCACGTCAGGCGAAGAACATCGTCTCGTACGGGAAGCTGGAGAGCAAAGGGTTTGCCCTCGTGTACGATGGCAACAAACGAGCGCTAGCGCGGCGCAGCGACGGTACAGTCGTGTTCGACGTAGCGATTGACAGTAACGTGTTATACGTTAAGACGACAGCGACACGGGAGAGGCACAGAGCTGGAGATGCGATCGTGGCTGCGCTCGAAGCGCGCGCGATGGATGGTGATGCGGATGACATGCACGAAGCCTCGCTGCTGCACTGGCACCAGAGACTTGGCCACCTCGCGTTCGATACGATCGAGCGTATGGCGCGAGATCCGTCATCCGGTATTCGATTGACCAGCAACAAGCGCATGGCATGCGTATCATGCCTCGAGGGCAAACAGACGCGCAACACGCAGTCACAACAAGACAGCGGCACCAACTCGCCAATCGACAGGATCGGCGGCGTCATCTGCTCGGACCTTAAGGGTCCCATGACGCCGCAGGATCGCCTCGGCAATCGATATATGGTGAACTTTATCGACCATAAATCGAACTATTGTCGAGTATTCCTTGCGCGCACGAAGGACGCGGCGGCGAAGCAGTTTGAAGCCTTCCTCGTCCACTTTGAGAAGCTCTTCGGCTTCAAGGTCCACGTTCTGCGGACGGACGGAGGAGGCGAGTATGCAAACGTCGACTTGTTCTGTAAACGCACGGGTGTCGCACGCCAAGTGTCGGAAGCTCGCAACCAGGCATCGAATGGCAAGGCAGAGAGGATGCACCGCACGGTGCTAAACCTCGCACGCAGCATGATGTTCGCGAGCGCGCTACCGTTGCAGTTCTGGGGCGACGCGGTGCAGTACGCCGTCCACATCTTGAACCGCAGCCCGACGCGAGCCAATGCAAAGAGAGCGTCGCCTATCGAGGTGCTGACGGGTAAGTCGCCCGATCTGCGCAGCATCGTCGTCTTTGGGTCGTTGTGTAGCGTCTACCGGGACCCGCGCAAGAGCTCGCTACAGCGGCGCTCTCAGACTGGCATCATCGTGGGCGTCAGCGAGGAGACAAAGGGGTACAAGGTTCTTCTCCAGCGAGAGAACAAGGTGGTTGTAACACAACATGTGAAGAATATCTCCACGCTCTCGGATGCGCAGAACGCAAAACTGCAGCGTGCGCTGGAAGTTGGCGATCGAGCCGATGGAGAGGCTGTAGTGGCGACCCGTGATGACAATATACGAGCGCGAGATTATCGCGGTGCTCACGAGAAGAGTAAGAAGCCGTGGTCACGACAAGCGCACGGTATACGAAGCGCATCAAAGCGCAAGCAAGCAGTTACGCACCAGGAGGAGAGATCTGCAAGCGACGAGGTGGTCAACGCAGCCTTCGAGCGCGACCCATGCAACTATGGCGAGGCCATGCGGAGCTCTAAGCGCGCGGAGTGGCAGACGGCGATGCAAGAAGAGATCGCCGCTCTGGAGAGCAACGATGTGTGGCGCGTGACGAAGCGTAGCCCGGGCGTGAACGCTCTTCACTCCAAGTGGGTCTTCAAGACCAAGACAGGGGCCGATGGAGAGCTCGAGCGATATAAGGCGAGGCTTGTCGCATGTGGCAATGAGCAAGTGCTCGGCGTCGATTACAACCTGACCTTTGCCGCAGTGATGGACATCTCGACGGCAGAGGTAGTGCTGGCGCTCGCAGCAACCTGGGGCGTGCCGGCCAAGCATGGAGACATCCCGAACGCGTACGTGCGTGCCGAGAAGGAAGCACATCTCGACATCTGCTTGCAGGTGCCACGCGGTATGACTGTGTCAGAGAGCACTCTGCGCAATGTTGGCGCTATGCATCCAGGCGAGGTCGTCTTGGAGCTGCGGAGAAGCCTTTACGGGCTGAAGCAAGCCGGGCGCCTCTGGAGCCAGTTGCTCCATGCGCGACTCAGCGATGCGGGGTACGTGCGCTGCGTGTCAGACATGTGTCTGTACCACAAGCGCGACGGCGAAGAGCTGGTCGTAGTTGGCGTCTACGTCGATGATTTGCTGGCGACGGGAACGAGCGTCGCGGCAGTCGAGAGCTTCTTCGCGAGCCTGGCGTCGCTGTCAATCAAGGATCTCGGCCATGTCCACAAGTTCCTGGGAATGCGAGTGGAACTCGGGAGCGACGGCGCGTACCGCATCGACCAGGAGGAGGCCATCAAGGAGCTACTGCGTGCTCATGGGATGTGCGATGCGAATCCGACGAAGACGCCGATTGGAGGTGACTGCTACGAGGTCATAGGCGACGACGCCGCGCTTCTTGGAACAACGAGCACGGGCGGTGGTGCAACCATCAACGCGTTCCAGTCCCTCGTCGGGAGCCTGCTGTGGGTCGCACGGTGCTCAAGGCCTGACATTGCCTTTGCAGTGCATAAAGCAACTAGGCAGACACATGCGCCGCGGGTACTCGACTGGAAGCTCGCCAAGCGTGTTGCTCGGTACCTAAAGGGGACAGCGATGCTCAAGCTCGAGATGGCGCCAGAGCGAACGAGCCGAGACGCGCTGCGTCTCGAAGCCTATAGCGATGCCGACTTCGCGGCTGACAAAGCGGACCGGAAGTCACTAACTGGAGGCGTCGTGCTTCTAAATGGGATGGCGGTGTTATGGACCGCGAAGAAACAGGGCGGAGTGAGTCTCTCGACGATGGAGGCCGAATTCGTCGCGGCGTCGGAGGTTGCGCGCGAGCTCATTGGCTTGCACCAGATGCTCGGAGGAGTGGGCATGGCGCCGGTTGTCCCTATGCTGATGCACGTGGACAACCAGGCAACCATCAGTCAGATCGAAGGCGAAGCCTCGTCGATCAAGGCCAAGCGCATCGACGTGCGGCACAAGTATCTGCGCGACCTCGCTCGTCGTGGGATCATCACGGCGCAGCACGTTCGATCCGAACTGATGATAGCGGATCTGATGACGAAGGCCGTCGATGCAAACAAGCTGGCGGCGCTGCGTAGCCTGATGCGGCTCGAGTAAGAGCGTGATGCGTATGAAGAGCTGGATGCGCGAGATGGCTGTGTCAGGGTATGGGTGTGGTGGAGGCACGCGTGAGGAGCTTCAGGATGAAGGAGATCGAGTATGGAGGAGATGAAGGACAAGGGCGTCTGCAACGTCCAAAAGGGATCGGAGAGGAAGAGAGAGGAAGAGAAGAGAGGAAGAGAGAAAAGAAGGAAGAGACGAAAACGAAAACGCACTCGAGGAGGAGTGTAGGAAAGCAAGGGATTTGTTACCTTGGTGGATTGGAGATTCGGCGCGATGTGTCGATTAGCGTCATTCGTTTAGATAGGAAGGCAGAGCGGCTGCGTAGCAAAATGGGTGGTGTGGATGGCTTTGGAAAAGTGTCAGGTAGAAGAGAAGACATAAAATGTGAATACAGAATCTAATCGTCTTTCTACTGCGCATACTACTTCCCACAGTTATTAGACTACGTTGCAAGCTTGCGTCGTGCAAACACGCGAATGAACGCCGCCGATCACTGGAGTCGAGTTATTCACTCTTTTGGTGGTCGCTCCGAAATTTGTTGGAAGGTTTTATCTTCTTCACCAACTCCATGTGATTTGCCTTTGCAACGCGATCCGCCTCGGCATACACCCGTTTCGTCAGCTGCATACCATGCACCGATTTCTTGATCGCCTGAAGGAGCTGGCGTAAAGTAACACCTATCTTCTTAAGTGATTCGAGCTGCGCATCGCCCTCGTCGATCCTTTTTGTTGCCTCTCTGATTTTCCGTGTGTCGTCCCCAAGCGTCTTCATTTTGGCGACAGCGTCTGGCAGCAACTGGACGATCCGCTTCACGACCGTCTCCCCAACCAATTTCTCTTCTCCAGGGTTCACCTCACCTCTCAAGAAGCGGTTTTCATTCAAGTGCATGCCAGTAACATCAGCCTCATCAGCCTTCATGACAGAGTTCTTTGAGGAGACTTGATGGTGGCCCAAGGCTGCCGCCGCAAGAGCCTCGCTGTGCATTTCTTGAAAGACGCCGACAACGGAGACGATGGTATTGATGACACGCATTCTGGGGATAGTTGGGTGCTCAATAGACTGCTACTTCTGTACTGACAATCGCCGAGCATGGGCGCACTCAATCTGGTCTTCGCGCGCATCAGAACCAGGTAGTAGCGACAGGTCCACGGCTGAGACACACCCGAAAGGACCGAGCGACTTTTTCAACCACTTCAACTACTGCAGACAATCACACAAGCTTCTGTGTTAACACCGAGCACATTCACGTTTCGTTCGACTTTAAACGGTTATGCGTTTGGCAAAGACTAGAGGATCGGGCTGCGGTGCATGAGCTATGCGGCGAAAGCTTGTGCACCCATCTCGTCAACGCTGATCCACGATAGACTATCCATTTCATATGCAAGCACGTTCCCATTCTTTCAAGGCATTTTTGCCAGGATCAAGTGTCTTCTGAATACGAAGATGCTATTAAGAGTTGACGCCTCAGCAAGGGACAGAAAGACCTTGCAATGTGCAATGCTGCGCCCTCGATTGCTGCTTTTAGATGGTTTACCGAGTGCAGCTTCTACAATAGGTTTTCTCTATCTGCTGCGATAGCTGCGTGCCTGCCTCATTTCAGCGCACGACTGTACAGAGGTCAAGGGTCTACCGACTTTGACCCCAGAGAAGCCACCAACGAATCTGGAAATGAAGCGATGCTGAAAGCTTGGATGTTCAGGAAGGCGCCATGTTAGTTGCAATTGTAACAAGGCCGTAAGTGGTGTAGGCGTTGTAATGTACCGCTTAATTGATATCGATGCGATCTCGTCGGCTCAGACAGGCGAAAGCGTCTGATCTCGCGGACTGCGAGAGAAGTGGCACAAATGCGACGTCGGTGGCCACATAATTCGACTGCAAAAGCTTTAAGCACATCCTAAAAGGCTCAAGTGTACGTGCGGCTGGATGGTTATGGCCATGGCCCGAGATTGCGAACCGTGCCGTCGTGTTCATGGTGTCAGCCTGGAATGCTTTATCGAGTATAACACATCATCAAGCCATTGCTTAAGACTCGAATCGATTTCAAGGATGTCATGCCGATGATCTGACGGCATCGTGTATTAGGTGGCAGAGTCATGTTCAAGCTTCGTCATGCCGTACGGAAGGCATGATGAGATCCTAATTCGAAGAAGCTCCTTCAAGGCGAAGGTGAGATGCGAGTACTTTACTTCGTACGAGGCTGGCGAGATTCATATGGTGATTTGCCAAAGCTCGTTCAGAACGAGCTACGGCGAATGTTTAACGAACAGTCACGAAGAGGGAGGTGCAAGAGCTTGGTGTGAACGGTGCGACAAGTTAACGAAGTTATGCATCGGTTGGCACGAAGACGCAGTCATGCCTGAACAACTTTGTGGCATTGGAGAGGATCCAGATGGCCGTCGTATGTGTTTCGTGTGGTATTTCGTCCAGCCAAACAAGACTTTCATGCTCGCTGGTACAGACTTGTTTTCTCCTGCAAACAAGTTCCGAGACGTGCCTTGACTGTGCCGTCGATGTGTTCATCGACTGTCTTGTTGGCAGTGTACGGATTTGGCGACCCAATTTGCCATCAGACGGACTATCGATCCCAGCATGTTTCAGTGTCCTGTGTTCATCGTCAGATCCCGTCGCTTGTCGGTCATGAGCTGCGTGCTTTGATGGACTAAACCCATGCAGGAGTATGGATGTGATTCAAAACAGTGATATGATGACACCAAGAAACTTGACCAGCAAGCATAACTTGAGTGAAGCAGAGGTACATATGGTCATGTTGCAGAATTTTGTTCCTTGACTATGTGCTGTTGAGGCCGAGGGCACGTCGGATTAACCTGCCAAGAACTTGGACTTGGTGTTTTAATGCGTACCATAACGCGTTTGCCGACTGTCGATCTTGAGCTGCAGCAAAGACGTCATGACCGATCCATGATAGGTGTCATCGGTCAAATCTTTGGGTATAGCTTGATCTGCATGAGCCGAAGATGTACATATGGCACCTCGCGCAGGTGGTGGAGGATGCCAAGATACTGCAGTCAAATGCCTATGGTGGCAGCCATCAAAAGAGCTCTTTGCGTTGCTGCCGCTCACGCGAAACGATACGCGCCATGGAAAGTTTACTCAGTTGACATTCCGTCACATTGCTCATGCGATGCGAAGCTACTCTCGATCTTAATGCAGGATGAAGAATGCCGCTTTACAGAATAAAAATCGGTGTCGTTGAGACTTTCTAATGAGCTGCGGGCCTTCACGAATCGACCGTTGGAGACGGCATTGACAGCGGCACGAGCACGAAATGTCAATCCGACGACAGTAGTGATCTCAGCGCGTGGAACTTGATCGAAGGGGATAGGGGCGTTTTTCCATACAACGAGCTGCTGTTTGTGCGGCCACTGCGTACAGCAGGATAGTCTATAGCGCGGCACACAAACGATCACCTCACGTAGAGTTTACCGACGACATGTTTGAAAGTGTCACCGTCGAAACAATAGCTCCGATACCTACATCTTCTGCTTGTCGTTCGGAGGTGATTCGGCGACACCCGTTGAGATCCTTGCATGCGAGCAGAAGTATCGGTTGCCTGCAGTCGTATCACAACGGGTGAAGGAGTGGAGCTTGCTCGGGAAAGAGTGTCAACATGTTTATGATGATGGCAACTGGATGGTGTCACGCAGTTGTGAGGAGAGCTTGAATCGATAGTGCAACTGGACCATACTGAAGCTGACGGAGACGGATAGAATGGAGTTAGGCGCTAGTCACTTTCTCATGGCGTTGTCGAAAGACGACCCGGCTCCAAGTCGGAAGAGCATGGTTGTTAGCATGTCAAACGACCTCAACGATCACATTCGCAACCGACAAAGACATCACGAACCCCGTCCATCGATCAAGCTGCAACTCTGTCAGAAATAATGGGCTCAGCCGGCTTCGTCGAACTGCATTCGTCTCATGCATCAAACGCAGATGCTGAGGTGAATGTGCTACTGCCGCTTCTCACGACTCACGGCACCACTGAATCAAAAGTACAAGTGGCTCACCTGGTATATCTTGTGGGCCATGTGTGCGATAAGACAACGGAGTGGAGTGCCTTTATGTTCTTAACGAACGTCCTTGAAGTCACGCCGTCTAATTACTAAGCAAACGCCCAGCACATTTGAGCCAAAGTGTGTCCGTCCACATCAACGACTGCCAAGCCGAAAAGCATCCACTGTACCAACGTAGCACAACAAACATCGAGCTAAAGCCCAAGAAGCTGTTCGTCTCCGTCGCAGTCCATTTTGCAAGTCAATAGCTTGTCCACAGAGCTCAAGGCCGAAGCCTCCACTGACCCTAACGGCGCTGTCGGAACATTCGAGACGCGTCCACCATCGACAACTACGGACCCCGCAACGTCAGTCTGTTCTACAAGCACCACGTCATTTCGCCCAGTCTTCTACCTTATCGTCCAGGAGCTACACGAAACAGGAGCACACACCGCCTTCTCAGTTCAACTTGTATACTTGCAAGCTCTACAGTCTAGACCGCCTCGACGTCCATGCTCAAAGCACCTCGTTTCTGCTTGGCCTCGGTCTTCTGCAGCAACTCCTGATTGGCCTGCACGACCGTGTTCAGCAGATGGACCTGAATCGCCGCGAACGGGTCCGTCTGGAATCCCGAGTGCGTCTGCACGGCCTTCAGCTGGCCCAACTCGCGCACCGCCAGCTTCTGGCGCTGCCGCCCGCTCAGCGCCTTCTTCGTCGACTTCCGATCTGCCAACCCCTTCCCCTTCTTCTTCCTCTCCGTGTCCTCTTCAGCTTGAAACAGCGACGTCTGCAGCTCGTCCAAGTCAGCGAACGCGCCGTGCGTCTGCGTCTCCGTCTCCCGCTGCTGCTCCTGCGCCACGCGCGACACCATTCCCATCTTGCGCATAAACGCAGCGCGCCGCTTCAGACGCTTGCGTTGGCCGCGGCTCAAGCTCTGCGCTTCCGTCGTGGCCTCGTCGTCGTGGTCCGCCTGGTTGTCGCCCAGCAAATTTGAGAGGTCGTCGCTGCCGAATGTCGCAGCGACGGCCGCAGCACCGAGGGAGTCTCCGGTTTCTTGCATCTTTCGAAGGCGAGAAGAGTCGCTCGAGTGTGCGGCCACGCCATGTGCACGCGCCTTTCTACGTTGCGGACGACCCATGCAAGTGATGGAATGAGATCGCAGAGCGGGAGGGGCTAGAAGCGCGCGTAGGTGGCCGCAAGCGCTGGAATGCTGCGATCTGCACCTGCGCTTTGACCAGTCATGTCGAATCGGACTTAAGACAGCAAACGGAGCCATCGATGTGTCATTTGTCAAGCGCAGTTGTAGGGATGAGAATGTAGCAATCATTTGGATACGAATGTTGGACCATCGCTTGAGAATGTCGCGATGATTTGAAGATGGGAGTCAAGTGCAGCTTGCGAGTAGGAAGAACTGGCTGGTCCAGACTTTATCTGTACACGCAATTCTGGCTGACCCATCTCTTTCCATACATCATTCTGACGAGAATTGTTTGCCGCCTATTCGTTTTTATGGGTAAGTGCTGAATTTATTTTGAGCGGAATGGATGCAGACTAGAGTGCCATGTTGTGTCGCGATCTTCCTTTGTCGGCGACGCTAAACGAGACGAGTGCGGCGTCTAAATAGGTGCTGGCGTTGCTTACGATTTTCACTTGTAAGACATGAGACGTTTGGGTGACTCCGACTGTTAGCTGATTGAAAGGGGCGAAGCGCTGCCGGACATTGTCACTGTCGATTTTTTTTTAGATTGCCTGAGGTTTATGCTGAAAAACACTTGACACTGCTTCTCCCGTTTGCTCGGTAGGAAAGCAAAAGAGAATCTCTGCGATGACGATGATGCATTAATCAAACATTTGCGGGAAGCTTTTCAACGACAATGGTAAAATGAGGCAAGTGCTGAACTTTTAGTTCGAAGATCGAGGCGAGTGGTGTAGTGCAGCTCGCATTAACCGTGAGCTGAATGAAGTACCGACTTCGAAGGGTATCAACGTCAGGAGTGAAAAAATATCTACCAGAGAGAGATGCACAGGTAATTGCAGTAAATGAAGAATCAATGGGTCCAGCAGTCGAAGCGATTTGATGTGGTCTTGGCAGGCAAGACCAAAAGCATAATGACAGACGAAACAGACCGATCAGACGTGTGGTAGATGGCAATGTCTATGCTAGCAGGATAAGAATGCTAATCACGTTGTCAAGAAAAAAATTGAACTCAGCTTTGGGAGCAGCCGTTGTTCTGAAAAAGCGTATTAGTTCGTTGAAATGGACGTTGTCATGGGGGAGAGGTCTTTAAAGGGCGTCGGCAATAGCAACATACAAAGCTCATAGTGGATTTGAATAGTTGGAGTTAGTTGCTTAAATGTCGATGCAGCTATTAATTGCGTGAATTTATTTTAACAGTGTTGCCTGTACCGGTAAAAGCTCTGCGCATGCTTACGGTACACTGCTCAATGGGCGGTTGAGGCCATAATTTCAGCCAACAATTCCCTACTTTGTGGAGAGGCGCGCGAAAAGTGTTGGTGGTTTAGTGCTTAACCTACACGTTCTAGTAAAAAGCTAAAAGAAAGATTCGTTATTACGGGCCCAAAAGGAAAGAAGCCATTAGTAACTAAGCGCATAGTGCGTAATTATACAAAGCTTAATTTAGCTCTATGGACTGAATCACTTGTATCAAGAGGCGAGCTCCAGGGCTTGCTTCCCAATCTTATGTATTTGTGACGGGAAAATGAATAAAATGCCCCATTCATTCTCAAAGAACAATTTCCCCAGATAATTAAAAAATGCCCCACATAATAGGACATGAAATCGTGCTAAAGGTAATAAAATAAAAATAATGCCCCAGAAACTGAGAAAATAAAAAATGCCCTAGATAATAAAAATAAAAAAGATGCCCTATTTTATCGCGAGAAATAATGCCTCACGTCCTTGTATACTCAAGTTTAGTGGCACACATAAACCGTCATGGTGCTTCTATGATGGACTTGGGCCTTTTATAAACATTAATCACACGCAATATGCTGATACGTTTGACCTGCTTTACATCTTTAACTCTCCACGTCCAGCGTGCTGTCCTTGAAGTTGAAAAGTAAGATAGGGGAGCGTGCTCTAGCGCTTTCCTTTCGATACGAACTATCCAATTCGGAGAACTGAATCAAGATACAAAATACGATACAACAGCAGTCACTGGAGAATGAGCATGATGTTTTTCAATGTCTACACTATTTTAAATCTACACAACTATACCCACACAACGCGATCAGCCTTTACTTGCTTTTGTGATCACATCCACCTTTTATCGAATTTAAGCCAGTCACGTGCGTGTGTCACAATAGTGGAGCATAAGAGTGACTTCGGACGCACCTAAATACCTATGAGGCTGGACATGCTAGGTCGTACTTAGTGCATGCGAGGTACACCTAGCCGCATTATATCAAGACAAACAAACAGACAGACTCACACAGATCTGTGCGTTTCAAAAGTTCGGCCTTCAACCTTGTACACAGTCACTAATAGCTTCACCCCTCGGGATCGCAATCAGTAGCACGAACAAAATCCTGCAACGGTACTAAATAGTCGCCATCAGCACTGGTGAGCTTCGAATTACAATATGAGAGTCGAACAGATAGAATGTATTCATCATAGTTCATTTGATGGTTGAATTAAGGAGAGTCAAACAGATATAATGGATTAATCGTATTATATTTAATGGGTAAACATGCTTAAATTGTTATTGCGTACAAGTAGGAAGCGAGTTCCTATCCTACAAATATAACAGCAGAGCTGTACAACCAAAAAAAACCACCACAAAACAGTAGAACACCAAGAACACTAGCAGCAGTAGTAAGAGCAGCGATAGCAAAAGAAGCAGCAGCATCGGCAGAAAAATAAAGAGGCTACACCAGCACCAACAACAGCTACAGAAGCAACAACAACAAATAACAATGACACAAATAACAATGACAACACCAGCAGCACTACAACCACCACCAGCAGCAGTAACAGAAGCAACAGGAAAATTAAAAAAATTGCAGCAACAACGGCTTCAGCGGCAGCAGCAATAATGACATGAACAACTGAAACAAAAATCTGTTCGAATTATAACATTAGAAAACCATCACAACAATATTGAATCGATTTCAAAAAGTATACCATCCATTTTATCAGCACCAATTATCTGCGTTTACGGCTGCGGCTGAGAATAAAAAAATACTCTTACATCTTTCCTGTCCCGCCCGCGCCCACAACTGGTAAATAGGAGCGCAGAAAGCCTGTGGCAAAACCCCCTCCGCGCCCCCCCCCTACAGGGCAGGGGTCGAGCACAGTCATACTACGGGTATTCAGAAATTACTAAGATGTGAATTTTTGTGTGCATCACTGTGATTTGAGTATACAAGGACGTGAAATCTTTTGTTTTCGTGATTTTCTATAGCACTAATTTTGTTTCCTATTATCTGGGGCATTTTTGTTGTTTTCGCGGTTAAATGGATCGTTTTGAGTTTTCCCTAATAAGAAATTAAAAATATGGAGCCGCTATTTAGCCATCACCTTCTTGGTAATTGCCCCTCAGTCCCAATTTTTCGAAATCGAATTAGTCATCATATTACACGGGCACATCCAATTTACATTGCTCAAACGCTTATACGTCACGAAAAACTATTGCGCTTCTAAAAAAAGGTTGATCGACATGGTACTGAGCCGTCGTCGCCTTTTTGCTGCTGCTATGGACGTTTTACAAGTTTGTAACCGTAGAATAATATGTTTGATTGCGTGTAATGTTAACTACTTCGGCAGCGTGCATGCTCATGATCACAAAAGAGTTCCAGTGGCTGCTGGCCTCAGCGGGGATGTTCATGTACATCATAGTTCAAAATTTGCAGGTCAATCTCATGTGAAGAATTGGAGGTTATTGCTGCAACAGAACGTTCACGAGAATCCACTTACAGTGTGCATTGGTTGCCATTTAAGATCATGCTTGACTTTAAACAAGGCCACCGGACTAGTTGACGCTCATCATGTTGGCCCTGAAACTTAGCTGGATTGATTCCGCGCTTATTTACCACAAGTACAGAGGACGGGTGCCTTAGTGCAGTTTGCAAGTTTTAATGTGGGTATTTTACTGAACGGAACGCTGATAGTACATGTACTTTTTAATTTTATAAGCTATGAACTGAGTGCTTGGCCTTGCATAGAAGAAGAAGGTGGATGTGTAGCAGCAACTCAGCTCAAACACCTCTGTCTTATAACTATCGTGTGTACGAGATCGTGCTGTGGGCAAACATAACAAATTCTTGTTACAGCTAATGTGACGGTAGACAGTCGCGCATTGTCAACATGAGCAATGTGTATTAGATTGTTGTTTTTACATGTTTACGCATCACAAATAGTGCTTCTAAGTCTACTGTTGTTGCTGCTGGTCCTGTAATTGCTGCTGAGGGAGGTGCTAGTGTGGGAGTTGATTTTCCTTGTGCTTGACCATGAAAGGTTCGAGCATTGTAACATGTATGCTGGAAAGTCCGACAATGCCAGCGGTGAGCAGGAGCTTCCAACGTAACGGCAACATGCTCGAGCTGGTATAGAAATCGCCGTGTTGACTCCGGTGGTCGACCACGAGTCTGGGATTTTTATAGGATTGCGAATGTCAGCTTCTGGGACTGTCAAGACTTGGTCAAGCAGCACACACTAACTGTGTTCTGCGGCATTATCGTATTCTTCAGCAATCCTCTACAATCCCAATGAATAATGGCTTGCGCATCCTTTACATGCATCTTTGTTGGCGGTAATAGCCACCATGGACGACCAAACTAACTGACCGGTGATGGTATCACTCGGCTACAAAACTCATTAGCACTTGTATAGCCCATCGTGGATTTCAGCATTCCTATATTCAGCAATTGCAGTCAGTCACACTCAATGGCACGTCAATTACAGCATACAAAACTCGACAATTTCCGTTTTAGTGAAACCGCTGCCAATACTGCACATACGCTGCCTTAGAACTGCTATAGATATCTCACCCATCACCTCTAAATAATTGGTTTGAAACGCATATTGACAGTGGCATGCTGCTTCGCATTTTGCTGCATGTTATAAGCAAGCTAAACTTCACATGCAAAACGAATGGCTAAGGTCACGGATAATCGATC